ATAAGATGAAATAAACCCTCTCCTCCCTCGAGTGGCTCCCTATAGGCATTATTAGGCAGTGTGGCCTTGTTGGAGTAGGTGTGGCCATGTTGGAGGAAGTGTGTCGCTGTGGAGTGGGCTTTGAGGTCTCATATGCTCAAGCCACACCAGTGGCTTGCCTGGGAGCTTGCCACTTCTTTTTGCCTGGGAGTCAAGATGTTAGAGCTCTCAGCTCCTGCTCCAGACCCATGTCCGCCTGCACGCTACTATGACTCCTGCCATGACGATAATGGACTAAACCTCTAAATTGTAAGCCAGCCCCAATTAAATGTTTTCCGTTATAAGAGTTGCCGTGGTCATGGTGTCTTTTCACAGAAACAGAAACCCTAAGACAATAGTTAAGCCAGGCATGGTGGCAAAAGCCTATAACTCCAACACTTAGGAGGCAGAGGCAGGCAGGTCTCTGTGAGTTTGAGGTCAGCCTGGTCTACAGAGCGAGTTCCAGGACAGGCTCCAAAGCTACACAGAGAAACCCTGCCTCAAAACAAACAAACTAACCAACAAACAAAACAGAGAGAAATGAACACGTACATATTACTTTTGCTTACTCAGCTGAATTCCTCCTGTTCAGGACCCTCTGCCTATGGGTGGTAGCCCTGTCCATAGCTGGCTGGGCCCTGCCAAGTCACTCACTAATCATGAACGCGCCCAGAGGCATGCCTACAGGCCGGTTTGATGGAGACATCTCCTCAATTGAAGTTCCTCTTCCCAGATCACTCTACACTGCATCAAGTTGACTAGGAAACCAACCGACAAAACCCCCAACCAACCTCAGTCCATCTAGGACAGTTATGGGCATGGCGTGACCTTCTCTGTCAAGTCCCTGATGCTGTGACATATTCCCAGCTTGCTTCTGGTCAGGGCTCCCTCACAGCAGCAGAAAAGCAACTGCCACTGAAACTCGAGATCACTAAGTCCAAATGGACTGCTTGCCCAGCAAGCTTCCCAGGGTCTGGGACTACAGCTGCTGTGACCAGCTTTTTCTGTGGGTGCTGGGGAGCTGAATCTGGGTTCTCCTATTTGCACTTGACCTTTTCCCACTGAGTCATCTCCCAGGCATGGTTCAGGTCCTTGCCCCGTTTGCTAACACCCCAATCTCCCCTCCCAAGGTGATACCCCCTTTCCACAGTTGCCCCTCCCAAGAACCTGGGCATCCCTTAACCCCACCCACATCTCGGGATGTGGTCTTTTCAGTCAGCTCTTTTTTGCAATGAAATGTTTATTTGTTCCTCAGAGAAGCAACTGAATGTATGATTTTAAAAAATATCCAATCAATAAAGTGTTGAATAACTACTCAATAAACACTGTACACTTCAAATGTATAGTTTAGCGGGCTTTGACAAATGTCCACACCTGTGTGATCACCACTGTCCTCAGAAGAGGGGACGTACTTCAGACTTGTGTTCCTGCCCCTCAGAGGCAGCTATGGTGTAGTGGGTAGTTTGAAGGCTTTTCCTAGGGAGACATGATCAGACATCTACTTACTGCAGCTAGAACATTACTGACAGATTAAAAAAAGGTCTAGCTTGGTGAACCAGGGAGTTCATTTGGGTTTCTAACTGCAGCATGAGTCACACAAGCAGGAGCACAAGGCCCACCCCAGCGTGCGAGATAACCCTAACCCTGCTCAGCTTGCAAGCCGCCCCACCCAAGGATCTTCTCTCCCAGAACAATGGCTTCCTGCTCATACAAAATTTGCTTGGGTGGGAACTTAAGACCTCTGGGAGTTTCCTTGGTTGGTTTAAGTTTCTGGAGCTTGGGCCTCCTAAGCTTCCTGAATCTCAGGACCTTTCTTCCCTCTGCAGGTGATGGTTTCATTGCAGGAAGTGGCTACCTGGCACAACAGGCCTCGCTCCTGGCTGTCCTGGAGCTCACTATATAGAACAGGCTGGGCTTGAACTATCTATCCCCCACCTTCTCACCCCCTGAGAGATCTGCCTGACTCTGCCTTCTAAGCACCAGGGTTAAAGTCAAGCTGCAACACACTTGGCTGTTTTTTCCTATCTGAAACAGATTTCACATCAATGGAGTCGGACGGCATGAACCTTTTTTGCATTAGGCTTTTCTTGGTATTTGGTTTTATTTATTTACTTATCTATTTATTTACTTTTGATGGTGTGTGTGTTTTGGTTTGTTTTGGTTTTTGTTGTTGTTTTGCTTTGTGTGTGTGTGTGTGTGTGTGTGTGAGAGAGAGAGAGAGAGAGAGAGAGAGAGAGAGAGAGAGACAGGGTTTCTCTGTGTAGCTTCAGAGCCCATCCTAGAACTCACTCTATAGACCAGGCTGGCCTCGAACTCACAGAGATCTGTCTGCCTTTGCCTCCTAAGCACTGGGATTAAAGGTGCCTCCACTGCCTCGACACCTGGGTTTGTTTTTAACATCTAGTTATTTGTGGATGTGTTTGTCACAATTTGAATGTGGAGGTCAGAGTACCAGCCCCATGTAGACTAGAGAGACAGAACTCAGGCCGTAGGCTTCTTGGCAAGTGCCTTCTCCATTTGAGACATCTTGCTGGTCTGTTTTTATTTCGTTTTATTTGTTTTATTTTATTTACTTTTTGCAGGTTCAGGCTGGTCTTAATGTAGCTAAGAATGACCTTGAACTTCTGGTCCATGACCCTCCTGGACTGAAGGTGTGCAGAGCCACACCGGGCTGATGTGGTATTGGGGTTGAACCTGGAAGTTGGTGTGTGCCAGGCAAGCATCTGGACCTTCAGCGATGTGTTTAGCTTCTCTCCTTTTCCACTGGTATTTTGCTTGAATACATTGCCATTCCTCATTATATTCATCCATTGATGATGTCCAGGCTGCTCCCGAGTGGCACAAAGGGGAGACTATGAACATCTTTTGTACGAATCTTTTTGTGGCTGCTTGTTTTCGTTGCTTTTGTATATACACTACAGTTCTTTCTTGGACACGAGGCAAGCATACACTCTTGGGAGACAGCTGGAAGATTTTCCCCAGTGCTTGCACAAATTATACCTCTAGAACATACCATTTCCCTGGAGTAGGACAGGCCAAGACAGACCTGGGCAAGGATAGTGTTTAAAATGCCATCAGGGTTAGGTAGTCAGTTTCCAAATGGCTTCTAGGGTGCTAGCAGAGCCTGCCCTCGGACGGGCCTCTTGGCCCTGCTCGAAGGCATCCTCACAGCCCTTCCTTTGTTTTCTGCACTCAGCTTTCAGCGTCTCCCCCAGTCCAGACATGCAAAGTCTCACTTCCTAGGTTGCTTGGCCAACAGCAAAACTGAAAGTAGCTAAGGAAAATCATTTAGAATGATGGTCAGGCCTCGCTCCATCAACACCCTTAAGTACCTGTGTTTTAAATGTGAAACTTAATCATCTAAAGGAATTAACCAGCACTTGTGCTTTCGAGGAGAGGAGACTTGCTGTCTTCTTAGGGTAGTCCGAAAATTACATGAGGGTTTGCAAGATGCTATTGGCTTTTAAAGGCACTTGCCTTCGAACCTCAGGACCTGAGTTCAAGTCTCTGGACCCACATGATGGAAGGAGACTCCTTGTCTTTGACCTACATACATACATACACACACATACACACTCTCACACACATTCACTCACACACATTTAAAAAAATAATGAAAGTTATGTGAAGGCCTGGGCCGTAGCAAGACGTATGTTTAGGGGTGTAGCCTGGAGGGCTGTGAGTTTGAGGCCAACCAGGCTAGTGAGTTCCAGACTAGCCTTGGCTCAATTAAACAATGTGAGCTGAAAAATGTCATCTGTCCTAGGCCAGATGTGGGTTCAAATCCCACTCTATACTTCAAAAAGAAAGCAAATTCTCCCTATGTCCTTGCTCACTAGCTATCGACAGTTATTTGTGGCTTAGCAGCAAACTCTTGTTCAGTCTCTAGCCTTTAACAATATAACAAAGTATGGCATCGTTATCGTCTAGTACAGGGGCAGCCATATTGTGGGCACTTAACCCATATATTGACCGGCATATTAACATGGAAGGGATTTGCAAACTGCAGCGCCACTGGTGTTAAGTTTGACAATGCATTGTTCTTTACTGATTGAATAATTGGGATAGGGGTCTTGCTGTGTAGCACATGCTGGCCCAGAACTGGCAGCAATTCTCCTGCCTCAGTCTCCAAAGTGCTAGGATTAGGGGGAATAAAAACCACCAGGCCAGGCAGCAGAGCTGGGTTTCTACAGGGAATCGATGTTGGGGCAGACAAGATCCGTAAGCTGGAAGAGATAGATAGCGGGTCCGGGCGAGATCAAGATTGTAGCTTTTCAGATCACCCCACCCCCCAAATTTGGGAATTCCACACGCTTGGAAGGTCACCCAGTTCTGACTCTGGAAGTGAATAGTGTGTCGAGGAACGCCAAGGTGAGGAAGGAAAATTTGCTTACATTAGATGCAAGCTCTCTACCTTAAGCATCCCCCAAATGTGCTGGGATTATAAGCGATTGCACCACACCCGGTTCTCTGCGGTGCTGGGAATTAGAACCCAGGGCTCTGTGCCAGCCAGGCAACCACTCTGCCAACCGAGCCACATCCCCAGCCCCAAGATGGCCTTTTCCTAATGGAACAGATCTCGTTGTTCTAAGGACCAAGGCTAGCAAATCAGCAGCTTTCCTTCATTTAAAAAACACGTCCGTTTAACGAAGGTTCTGTCTGTGAGTCTGCGCCCAATCGAGACTTCGGGCCCTGCGTGGCAACCATCCTCCCCTCGAAGGTACCCACTGCCAGCCCTCCGGGCCCTGGCCCTCCGCCCCGGCCGCGCCCCGGGCGCAGCCCCTTTTGGCACCGCGGCTCCCAGGTGCCCGGCGCAAAGGCGGAGCCGGACTGCAGCCGCCTGGGTGGCGCCACCGAGACCCCCGGGTGTTCGCGGGTCCCGGCGCTCGGGCTGAGACTCCCGCAGCATCCCTGGCCGCGGCTCCAGCATCCCCGGGAACCCGAGACTCTGCGGACGCGCACAGCCCGTGGTCGCCACCACCATGAACGCCGGGCGGCGATGGCCGGCACCCGGCAGCCTGGCTGCGCTCTGCGCCGCGCTGCTCCTGCTGGGTCTGCAACCGCCCCCCGTGCCAGCCGACGGTGAGTGTCCGCAGCCGCAGGGCCCCGGTGAAGCCGGGACGCCAGCTGGGCCGGAGGTGCAGCGTGGAACCCGCCACCCCGAGCCCCGCATCACCGGCCCCCACCTTTCCCCGCCTTTCCCCGCCGCCTGCTTCCCGAGAGAGAGCCCCGGAATGAAGTCACGTCTAGGCTGCCCTCGAACTGCCCCTGCTGGGATTGATTTTCCTTCCTCCCTCGTTTCTGTTAAGTGGGTGCTCTTCCCCGAGGCTGCGGGTAGAAAATACTCAGCGTTGTCTAGGAATATTTGAAAGACAAATGGAGACCCATGTCCGGGCAAAGGGGAAGTAAGGCGTCCGGGCAGGGGCCACAGCTGGCCCTGAGGTGCTCAGGGTGTTGGGGAACGTGGGGCACAGGATTTAAAGACAGACGGGGGGGGGGGAGAGGCAGGAGCCTATCTGCCAGGTGGGGGTGGATGCCTTGGGACAGGAGATGAAAAACCAGGTAGCAGCCATTTGACAAGTTGGCCCACTTTGGTTTTTGTTGTTGTTTTGGTTTGTTTTGTTTTTGTTGTTTTTTTAACTCGAATTCAGCTTTACAGATTTTAAACATTCAGTATGTATTTATGTATTGTTTATTTACTTTGCTTTTTAAGTCTGAATTCACCTTTAATTTAAAATTGTGTGTGTGTGTGTGTGTGTGTGTGTGTGTGTGTAGAAGTCAGAAGTCAGAAGACAACCTGAAGGATTCTCTCATGGGTCCCTGGGGTAGAAATCAGGTCATCAGGCTTGGCAGCAAGCACCTTTACCCGCTGGGCCATCATCTCCCTGGCCCTTGAATTTGGCTGTTGATACTTGCCTTAACCTAGCAGGATTAGGGCTCTGTGTCAGTATAATTTCCGTGAATTCAGCTGTGTTTAGCTGTTGAAACAAAACCCCTCAGAACGTGGAGGTGGGGAGTGTGACGGGAGCCTCAGAAGGCGTCTAGCCCATCCTTGGGGCAACCTCCACCAACAGGGGAGAAAAGCCGTGGGCTGATTTAGGAAGCTTTGCATACATTGAAGTATGGTTATTTACATCTGGTAAAGCATAAGGGCAAGCTAAAGACAGGGAAAGAAAAGCCTGGCCCTTGAGGAAATGGTGAGGGGACAGTATGTCCCTCACACCACAGGTGTGCTCTCCGAGTTTGCCTGTATGTGCCATGTTTAAGCAAGGACTTGCCATCTCTGTGAGCGTCTTAGCCACAGAGCATTAAGAGAGAGCACTGTTAACTCTAAAGGCCGTTAGTGGTCCCTCTATGCAATTACCAGTTCATTTACTGTAGAAGTGTCCCACACTTCAGCCCCAATTAAAAAAAAATCTAGGTACACTTCATAAAAGTTACCGTTTAAAATGTATAACTGCAGTTTTTAAAATATACACAAACATTTCATTGTACAAACTAATGTTTGTGCATCTAATTCTAGAACATTCCATCATTGCCCCCATGAAACATCACACCTCTTTGCAGTCCGTCCACTGGTAATACTTTAGTATTTCTGATGTTTAGTTATGAAAATTAAACTGATTTTTTAAAATGCAAGTAGAATGGGTTGGGGTTAGTACTAACTTTTGAACAATGTCTACTTCCTTTCCAGTTTTAATTCCTTTGAGCAAAATCTCTTCCCATAATGTTTTATAGAGATTCACCCTGTTATGGACAGTTAAGCAGAATGCCACATGGATAAGGGTCAAAGTTTTGTGCCTGGCTGGGGGGGGCATAGAAAATAGAAAGAGGGAGCACCACCCTTCAAAGAGGAACCAGGGCTCGTAGTGTGTGCATTTTGTTGCCAGGAATGGCACCTGTTTTCCTACCACAGTCCTTTTTCATCGCTCCACTTGAGCTGTGGAGAGTCATGAGCACACTTCATTTTAAGGAACCGCCACTTGCCACACCCTCCCTGGGACAGCAGAGCCGTGGACGAACCGTAAACCGTGTTATGAATGGCTCCCTCCCCGGGTCTGTTCTGGTTATCTGAGTCTGTGTGGGGAGGAGGGGGGCAATGATTAGCTGAGACTCGGGACTGTAGACATTTGAAGAGATCTGGACGAAAAAGTAAAATTTAAACAGGAAACATCTCATTTGTATTTCAGTAATTCAGCGTGTGTCACATACACAGATGGCTCTTGTATTTCTGTGTTTTTACTTTGTTTTCCCGGCAATGCTCATGTGCTATGATTACAGGCATGTGTCGCTATGTTCAGAGTTTACGTCATTGGGGGTGGGGCACACACCACATTCACACGTGGATGTCAAAGACAACTTTTTGGAGTCATCTCTCTCCTTCTACCTCTATCTGGGCCCCAGGAACAAACTCAGATTGTCAAATTCATGAGGCAAGCTCCCTTACCCCTGAGCGGGCTCGCCTACCAGTGTGAGAGCTGGGGTTGGAGCTCAGGCCCTCAGGTTAGAGCAGCAAGCACTTTGCCAACTGAGTTATCTCCCAAACTTCGCTCCTATCAACTCGATGTAAAAGAACTGTTTGGGTAATGGCTGCAGAAAAAGAGTTAACTCAGTCCATGTTTTCTGAGTAACTACTGCATACCAGGCAATGTCCTTGCCGACAAAGACAGAGTGATGAAGGGAAATGGGTGCTTCTACCAGGGAAGACACAGGAGGAGAGCTTCAAGCAGGCCACTGATGAGTACAATAGCCATGTCCGCCACTGAGGAGATTAGAGACTAGAAGGTGCTCCGAGAGTCACGCCAGGAGGTTGTCATCTGTTGTTTGTTTGCTTAGGGTCTCAGACCAGGCTGACCTCCTACTCACTGCGATCCCCCTGCCTCTGGCTCCCAAGTGCTGGGGTTCAAAGCATGAGCTACTGACTTCAGTATAAGAGACTTTTTACTTAAAGTAGGATAATCTGAAAAACTAGTAAAAATTACTAGGCACTGGGGCTGGAGAGACGAATCAGCAGCTAAGGGTGCTTGTTGCTCTTCTGGAGGACCAGGGCTTGATTCCCAACCCTCTGTATAACTTCAGAATTCTAATGCAGTGAGGACTGCCTTAGCCCTGGGCACCAAGACACCCACACCAGGGACCCCAGGACACTGAGCCTTGACGCATCTTTTTTTGGAAGAAGGATTAAACAAAGCAACACAAAAACATGCCCACCCTCGCAAATAGGGTCTCACTGCAGACCAGGTTGTCCAGTAGAGCACAGAGATCTCTGTGCCTCTGCCTGCCCAGTGCCTGGATTAGAGACATGTGTCACCACACCCAGCTAATTCAAATCCACTCGGGACCATCTGGTTGATGTAAGGGGTGGGACAGAAAGTACATGGAGTGGGGAGTGTGTGTGTGTGTGTGTGTGTGTGTGTGTGTTCGCACTCAAGTGTGGAAGTCAGAGAACACATTAGCTGTTGTCTTCAAATCCGACAGGGTTTCTCATTGGCCTGAAACTCCTCAGGCAGGCCGGGCTGGCCGGCCGGCCAGTGAGCCCCACTATGTCCCCATCTCCATTTCCTCAGCACTGGAGCCACAAGTCACCACCACCACTCCACCCCACCCCTGCTTTATCTTTACATGGTTTGTGCACATCAAACTCAGGGTCTGTAAGCCCCCAGGGCAACATTTAACCGACCCGTCTATCTCCCCCAACAGTCATTTAACCGATCAGTCTGTCCTCCCACTACAGTTAAACTCATTTGTTTATAGTAGACTAGAACACATGAGACCTGGTGTCAAACTCTTGTTCCAGACAGAAGGGAGGGTGGGGGGAGGAGGATGGTCTGAGCTCATGGGTTTGAAACTCACTTAGACAACAGGAGAGCCCACCTCAAAATGACTAGAGCTGACTAAGTGAAAACCTGGGCAGAACTGTCACGGCCGGTCCCAGGGATGGAGTGCACCAGTGTGTGAGGACCGAGAGCCTGGTGAACTCTGCCATGGGCCTCACATCTGCATACCCTTCTCCCCCTGCACAGGGAAACTCTTCCTGCTGGAGTCTCAGAACGGCTCTCAGGGCCTGGACCTGGAGGCAGCTCGGCTCTCCTGCAGGAGCAGGGGTGCCCACCTGGTGTCCGCTGAAGAGCTCAAGAGGGTGGTCCAAGACTGCGCCTTCGCAGTGTGCACAACAGGCTGGCTGGATGATGGCACCCTTGGGTAAGTCAGGACACAGGGAAGTGCCCTTTCCCAGCCACCTCAGCTGCCCTAGCTAGGTATATATGGGGCTCAACAATGGCCCAGCAGGAGAAGCGGGTGGGCAATGTGAAAAGGACTCTGGCTTCTAGCATGTCTGATATTTATTTATTATTTATTTGGGTGTATGTGTTTGGGCGCGCACACACGCACTCACACACGCATGCACGCACACAGGCACTCATGCGAGCTTGTGCATGCCCACATACCCACATGGAAATCAGAGAACAACTTTTTGAATTCAGTTCTCACTTTGTCAAAGCAGAGTCCCTCTTGTCTCTTCTGCTCTACCTGAAGCTGCCCAGCCAGCTCCCCTGCCCCTGACCCCATCTTGCCATAGGAATGGTGGGATTACAGATTCGTGCCACCATATCCAACTTTTTAATGGGATCCTGGGTGACCATCTGTCTTTTGGGGGAGATGGTAGTGGAGAGTGTACAATATTGGCCCAGCTGGTCTCCAACTCTTTATTTCAAGAAATCCTCCTGCCTCAGCTTCCCAAGTAGCTGGCGCTACAGTTGTGTGCCATTATGGAAGATATGTGTCATTTTATGCCTTTTGTTCTCAAATAATCTGCTGCTTTTTAAGTGCTTTGGTTGCAACTGCTTACCTAGAGTGATAGATTTGCTTGACTTAGGTTCTTCTTTGCAAGTTAAAGAATTTTACGTAATTAGTGGATTGGTGGAGTTTTTAGTCTTTTGGGATCTCCTGAAACTAGAATTACAGGAGGTTGTGAGCCTCCATTCAGCTGTTGAGCCATCTCTTCAGCCCATATATTAATCCTTTTAAAAACTCAGGCAGGGGCTGGAGAGATGGTTCGGTGATTAAGAGCACTGACTGCTCTTCCAGAAGACAGGGGTTCAATTCCCAGTGTCCACATGACAGCTAACAACGGACTGTAACTACATGTCTGACACCCTCACACAGACATGCATGCCCAGAAAAAGACCAATGCAAATAAAATAAAAATAAATTATTCAGAAAAATTCAGGCAGACAATCCTTTGATCTTCATACACACATGCTCATCATACATACATGTACAAAGTTTGTACACACAGAATGTAAAACTAACTCAAGCGATTCCTCTGATGGATTTTTTCATAGTGAAGAAGAAAGGTTGTAGAAGTGATCAAAAGGTGTTGCCTCTGAGAGTTGAGCTGATGAGTTAACCCCAGCATCCGCTGTCTTCCAAAATGTGACCTCTGTTTCTATGTGGATGCTTCCACCCAAAGGTCACGCATGGGTCACCTAAATCTCTGCTGACTTAGAGCTGATAGCAGAAAGGCGTTCTTTTCATCCCGAAGACAGTCCCCTAACCCTCCTGTGCTCCTGTGTCTGTTTCAGGACAACTGTGTGCAGCAAAGGGAGCGGAGAGCAGCAAATCGCCAGGGCTGTTGATGTGAGAATTGACAGTCACCCAGTTCCTGGCGCCAAGTACAACGCCCTTTGTATTAAGGATGAAGGTCAGTGTTTGTAAGGGGCCGGGAGGATGAGTGGCAGCTGCTGTCTAGACGAACACCCCGAGGTGACCCTTCTCTGAACATGCTTCGTTGAATGGAGGGGTGGCTTGGATGATAAGATCACTTACTTCCAAAGGACCTTCCATTCCCAGCACCCTTGCTGGGCAGCTGACAACTGCCTGTCACTCTAGCTCCAGGGAATTGAAACCCTCTTCTGGACTTTGTGGGAACTAGCAATCGCATGTGCACACACATACACATAATTTAAAAAATAAAACAAGCATTAAAAAATAAATAAGAATTTAGAAAGTGTCTAACTGGGGAAGCCGATAAGGCAGTGAGGACCTGGACAGGAAAACAAAGATGGCCCAAGCAATGGTTCAACATTCAGCAGAGTTCACAGAGATGTGCCAGGAGCCAGTGTCTCAGAGAACCTCTGGAGACGGTGTGCATGTATGGAGGAGCTCTGAAGATGGTGTGCATGTATGCAGAACCTCTGGAGATGGTGTGCATGTATGAAGGAACTCTGGAGATGGTGTGCATGTATGCAGAACCTCTGGAGATGGTGTGCATGTATGAAGGAACTCTGGAGACGGTGTGCATGAATGGAGGAGCTCTGGAGATGGTGTGCATGTATGGTGGAGCTCTGGAGATGGTGTGCATGTATGCAGAACCTTTGGAGACAGTGTGCATATATGGAGGAGCTCTGGAGACGGTGTGCATGTATGGAGGAGCTCTGAAGATGGTGTGCATGTATGGAGGAGCTCTGGAGATGGTGTGCATGTATGGAGGAGCTCTGGAGATGGTGTGCATGTATGGAGGAGCTCTGAAGATGGTGTGCATGTATGGAGGAGCTCTGGAGACGGTGTGCATGTATGCAGAACCTCTGGAGACGGTGTGCATGTATGCAGAACCTCTGGAGACGGTGTGCATGTATGGAGGAGCTCTGGAGACAGTGTGCATGTATGGAGGAGCTCTGGAGACGGTGTGCATGTATGGAGGAGCTCTGGAGACAGTGTGCATGTATGCAGAACCTCTGGAGACATGTTTGTTCACTGTCTCAGTGCTGTGACAAAAGGTGACATAAGAGAGTAGGTGATTGCTTTGGTTCACAGTGTGGGGGTAGAGTCCATCATGCTGCAGGATCTTAGGGTTGCTGTGGACAGTTGCTGTGGACAGTGTGTCCACATCTGGGAAGCAGAGAGGGACAAATACTGCTGCCCACCCGACCCTTGTTTTCCCAGAGGTCATGGGATGGCACCAGCCACTCTGAGGACATGTCTCCCTTCACAGACACACCTGGATCTGTCTCCTATGATTCTAAATCAAGCTAAGTCGATAATGAAAATTAACCCTCACAGTACATAATCATGATTTTCCTGATTAGGGTGAGGGAGCTGGGATAGATATGCCAGTATAGCTGTCAATCACTGGTCAAGGGATGTGTCCGAGAATGTTGACTTCTGCATTTTTGTTTGCCTGGGTACAAGTGCCACCATCCCACAAAGAGGCTCGGGTGCCTGGAGAGACCCAGGTCTCTAGGGAATAAGAACAGAGCCCTGGGCTGGGTGGTGGCAGTGCACGCCTTTAATCCCAGCCTGAGGGAGGCAGTGGCAGGTGGATCTCTGAGTTCTAGGCCAGCGTGGTCTACAAAGTGAGTTCCAGGACATCCAGGGCTGCACAGAGAAGCCCTGTCTTGAACAAACAAACAAGAACAGAGCTGTAGCCTTTCACACCAGACCCTGATGGTCACAGTTTAGGCCTTTCTTCCTAGTGAGGGCCATACCGAAAAACAACTCTTTTCTGAGCTGAAGAATTGGCTCAGAGGTTACGAGCGCTCACTGCTCTAGCAGAGGCCTCAGCTCTAATTCCCAGCATCCTCATAGAAGCTCATGACTGACTGTAATGCCAGTCCCAGGGGGTCAGTCACCCTCTTATGAGTTTTGAAGATAGCAGGAAAGCACATGGTGCATATAGATACATGCATTCAAAACATGCGTGTGGATTCATGAGTGACAAGCCCATCTTCCAGTGTGAGCGCTCTGCCTAGGAAACGGTCTGCATTTGCTGGGTGGTGTGGAAGACCACCAGAGCCCGCTCTCCATTGGCCCAATCAAATAATCAAGAGATGTGGCCTTGTTTTTACAAACATCTAGAGACAGTAAGATCTCTCCTCTCTCTCTCTCTCTCTCTCTCTCTCTCTCTCTCTCTCTCTCTCTCTCTCTCTCTCTCTCTCTGCCATATAAGTAAATTCAACTGACCCTATGGATCTCAAACCTCAGCAGTGTCAAATCCCTGAGGGAAACAGAATAGAGGCAAAACCCTCGTCCCTTTCGTGATCTCAAGGGAACGGGTCCTCTTTAGCTTTTGTGACATAATGTGCCACTCCAAAGCAGAGTGACTTAAATGACAATTTTTGTGGCTCTTGTGCTAATCCTGGCTAGGCTCATCTACAAATCTTTAGGCTGCTTATGGTTTGGAGCTAACCCTTGCTCCTGGGGAGCTCAAGAGCTTCCATCCTAGCTGCAATGCAACGATGAACTTCCGGTTCAAAAGGAAACCCTGTCTGAGGGGAGTAAGTCTAGCAGTGACAGAGCAGGACAGCTGACAGCCTCCTTCAGCCTCCACACAAGTCTGCTCAGGCATGCACACACAGAGAGATACACACAGACACCCCCCAACACCACACACACACACACAGATACACACAGACACCCCCATAACACCACACACACACACAGATACACACAGACACCCCCCTAACACCACACACACACAGAGAGATACACACAGACACCCCCCATAACACCACACACACACACACAGAGATACACACAGACACCCCCCTAACACCACACACACACACACAGAGATACACAGAGACACCCCCATAACACCACACACACACACAGAGATACACACAGACCCCCCCATAACACCACACACACATACACAGATACACACAGACACAGATACACACAGACACCCCCCCATAACACCACACACACACACACACACACACAGATACACACAGACCCCCCCCAAAACACCACACACACACACACACAGATACACACAGACACCCCCATAACACCACACACACACACAGATACACACAGACCCCCCCATAACACCACACACACACATACACAGATACACACAGACACCCCCCATAACACCACACACACACACACACAGATACACAGAGACACCCCCCTAACACCACACACACACAGAGAGATACACACAGACACCCCCCATAACACCACACACACACACACAGAGATACACACAGACACCCCCCTAACACCACACACACACACACAGAGATACACAGAGACACCCCCATAACACCACACACACACACAGAGATACACACAGACCCCCCCATAACACCACACACACATACACAGATACACACAGACACAGATACACACAGACACCCCCCATAACACCACACACACACACACACACACACAGATACACACAGACCCCCCCATAACACCACACACACACACACACACACAGATACACACAGACACCCCCATAACACCACACACACACACAGATACACACAGACCCCCCCATAACACCACACACACACATACACAGATACACACAGACACCCCCCATAACACCACACACACACACACACACAGATACACACAGACACCTCCATAACACCACACACACACAGATACACACAGACACCTCCATAACACCACACACACACACACAGATACACACAGACACCTCCATAACACCACACACACACACACAGATACACAGAGATACCCCCATAACACCACACACACACACACAGATACACACAGACACCTCCATAACACCACACACACACACAGATACACACAGACACTCCCTCCACATGCATACATACCCCTCCTACACAGATTCTCCCCCTATAACACCACACACACACACACACAGACATCACACAAAGATACTCCCCCCACAGCACTACACACAAAGAGAACACAGACACTCCCCACACACACAGCACCATACATACACACAGATACCACCTAACACACACACACACACACACACACACCACCTACACAGACACTCCCCACACACACAGCACCATACATACACACACAGATACCACCTAACACACACACACACACACACACACACACACCACCTACACAGACACTCCCCACACAGAGACACAGACTCCCCCCCCACACACACACACATCACACTAAAATAAACTAAAATGCAAAGGATGGAAAAACAAGAGGCTGAGCAGCTGTTCTAGATTAAAATGGGGTAAAAGACTTGACAATGAAATCCAATCCTGGTTTGTTTTCCAGACTAGCAAAAAACTACTATATTTGATAGCATTTGAATATGGATTGTGAACTGAACAGCTTGATGTCAATGTCTGAACGTTGTGATTTTGATAGCTACTGCTGCAGTGGTAAAGACGACATCCTTGATTTTAGGAAATGCACAGCAAAGTCACTTGAAGGTGAAGGGCACTATGTCTACAACCTACTCTCAAATGGATCAGGGCAGTGTGTGGGTGTTGGTGTGTGCGTGTGCGCGTGCGCGTGCACACACACGTGTCTCCTCTCATGCACTGTGAGATTTTCCTAGTGAGATGTGAACAAACGTGTTACCTCAAGTAGGACACCAATGGCAGGACAAGAAATGACTCCATTCAAGTCCATCTTGGTGATGAGTTGACTGCAGTTACTCACAGGTACATGACCGACTCACAGGCAACCCAGCGCAGAAAACTTGCTCCACCATGAGTATTGTGAGGAAAGCCGCACCCCCCCCCCCACTGCTCCCATCACAATCTGTCCCTGTGTCCTTTTGTCCTGCCTTAGATGGAGCGTGTAAGCCATCCCTCACAGCCCTCAGGCTTCCTGGTGGAGGTGGGAGAATTTCCCACCTGAGCCATCTCTGCGGCCCCCTCTGACTATCTTTTCAGGGCAGGTCCTCCTCCCAGACTCTGAGTCTAGTTACTCCAT